ACATCTTTAAGAACCTCGTGCAATGATTTAGATTTCACATTCTTGTGCAATGATCCTCTCCAGTTATTCCAAAGCTTTCTCATATGTTGCAAAACATTATCTCTTTGATCATTCATGTCATCACTGTCAAACTTCTCCTAAAATAGAAAAAATACCATCAAAATCTCTTGAATAAGGGAAAACAAGGCATCAAAGTATAGATCACCTATTAAGGCAGTAACCAAAAATTTTAGGAACATAAATCAAAATTTCAAATAAATAACAACCACAAGTTGTCTGTTTAAAACCTCTAGCTTACTCACATCACTATTGTATAGTGTTTGAAATAGCGTTGAGAGTAAAATAGTGACACAAGCGAGTGGAGTGAAGCATGACGTGAAGGAACATAAACTACTATAATAGAATCCTAGCAATCTTATCTTGCTGGGAGAAGAAATTGAACTTAGCATAAATTTTAGGAGATCACTAAGCTTAGCTTGTTCAATTCTATTATAGAGAAGTAAAGCCACATGGATTTGACCAGGTAATGACTGTACACATTTATTTTTTCATGTATAATCAAACAAAGCTATAACACAAATTCAAGGTTGGGCAAAGACAAATACATAATGATCAAGAGAGATAATAGATGAAGTTTTTGTTAGTTATTTCTAGTCTATGTTAGGTGATTCAATAGTAACATAATCTTTCTTCTGCTTGAAAAGAAAGTAAGCCACAATAGTAGCATAATTAAAAAGGAAGTGGCTAATGGGTGAAAGAGTGAAAAAATTGAGGACTTTGTAAGTGACAAGATTGAACAATGGCTCAACAGTCTGATGGTTTTGGTTGTTTATTCTTTAAGATGCTTCATGTATTGTAGTGGATGGAGATACTTTTCATGTTGTACATGACATTTTCAGAATAGGGATGCTGTTGAAACAAGCAAATGCTACCATAATTTTAACTACCCCTAATGTCTCAACATTGACAAATGTTAGTAAATATAGACCTACTTCATGTTGTAATATGATCTACAAGTGTATATCCAATGTGTATTCAACTAGAAAACAAAGATTTATGGAGATACAGTGAGAAAAAATAAGATTTGTGTTGATCAACCTTATTTAAAAGACCCCACTAATCAATTTATGTCATGTCAATGGAAAAAAGAGTTGTGGAGGAAAGTTACAGGTGGCTGGGTATTAGTAGCTCAGGCAAAGTCAAGGAAAGTCTATAATGGATCAACCAATGACACTAGACCAAGATCAAGAAGTAGATTGTGGCAGGGCAGTTATGGAATTCTGATTTACCCATATTACATAACAAAAATGAAAGATTCATTAAAGACAGAAGTACAACATATACAATTCATTACCAAAGAAAGATTGTCAATAATGAAAACCGCCAAGAAGGCCAAGAAATGTATATACTTCGTAGAGGCTTTCGATGAATAGGTGTATCCTCTATCAAACATTTAGGTCCTCAAGTAACATTTAGTGTCAGCTCAATACTTAATGAAATACATATCAATACACTGCTATGACTGAGAAATGTCCAAATTTTGCTAAGATGAAGGTTACACATCGAAATTATAACATAAAATTGAAAAACAATAATTGATAGTGTTTACCAACTGTAGAATCATATTAACTATGGCCACATTAAATTAATAATATTAACATCCAAAGGAATTACAGTGGAAGAATAAAGTTAACTTTTCAAAAGCCTCTTATTAGCAGGTAGTGGCAAGAAATTTAACTATCAAATAGGCTAACGAGAAAAGGCGAAATGTGAGAATTTTTATCTATACATTGAAACTGAGTAACTATACTTTGTTATTAAAGGAGAAGGAATGTGAAATCAAGAGTCTCATGTTTCAAACTGAAACATCCAATACATTTTGAAAAGTGATTCTTGACAATTATTAGTAAAAAGAAGAGATAGATATGTTGTAATCCTTACAGTAACAGCTGCCCACATGTGCTCAAGCTTATGCTCTTCGATGTCCATCCATGAGTGTACCCGGAGTGGACACATATTACGATCACGAACTAGGAAACCCAAGTGTCTCGTAAATGAGGTGTGATTCTGCCTGACGACTCAATTTTGATAGAAAGTGACTTCTAATTTTTCTCCAAGTCTCAGTCGCAAAACATTCTTACAAATATTTGTTCCCCTCACATTCTTTGCCCTTTCTGTTTCACATGGACATGCAAAATCTATAGTAAGGAAAACCAAACAAGAAGTTCAATCCCACTGTAGCACATACTTGAATCTAAATGACTGGGATAAGGAGAGTTCTATAGAATTTGTTGGTCTCCAAACTTCATTTAAAGATCTTATTAACAATGAGGATAGCTTGATATGGAAGGGGTTGGTCCTTTCACAGTGAAGTCTTGTTACTCTTAGATTCTCAGGGCCTATGGAAGTGAGGCAAGATAATGTTTTAGCTACTTTACATGTAACAATGCAGAAACTATTAGAAATTACGTAGAAGAAAATACATACTTGTCACGACCCAAGCCTAGGGCCTAGACGTGACATGGCGAATGAGGAACCCGAAGGAACCCCAAACAAGCCTCTCAAACTTGTCATCACACTTCATCGGTCGCGGAAGTACATTCAACATTAATTAACGGGAAATAGGGACTAAGGCAAACCATTTCAAAATGACATCATAGAATAAGAGTCAAGCTCGTTTACAAAATACTTGTCCAACTCACACCTCTACATACATAGATAGGACGGGGGCCATGACATATTACCGGCTCCCCTCATAGTTAAAATACAATTGCAAGCTAAAGTCTCAAAACATAGGAGTAAGAAACATAACATAGCCCTCGAATTATTGAGGACTCACCAACAAACTCGGATAAGCGTCGTACTAGCCACGTGAATGGAGAGAAGGATCAAGAGTAGCTCCGGTCCCTACATGGTGACATCATGTAGGCAAAATATGCGTTAGTACTTAGAATGTACTAAGTATGCGGGGTGCAACACAACAATAAACAAGGACACAATCGAAATACAAGAAATAGTTTCATAGGCATTATGAATAACAATATGAGGATGCATGATCAAAGTGAAGTCAAAACATGTTTAAGTAAATCTATACTAATAGTAGATATCATATGTGTATGCATGATCCAACCAATCTATAACCCCAACTTAGGATGGGGGATGCCGTTCACACCCGGACACCCTGGTGGCAAGGTATAAACCCCTCACATGGTTGATGTTGGTCACACCCCAAGCATCCTAGGTGGTGAGATATAAACCTCTCACATGGTTGATGTTGGTCACACCCCAAACATCCTAGGTGGTGAGATATAAACCTCTCACATGGTTGATGTTGGTCACACCCCAAACATCCTAGGTGGTGAGATATAAACCTCTCACATGGTTGATGTTGGTCACACCCCAAACATCCTAGGTGGTGAGATATAAACCTCTCACATGGTTGTCCGGTTCTTTTCCCCCGGACCGGGCATGGTCATGCAACACTTTATATAGGAAATTCTCATTAGGCTCTAATGCAATCTCACGTATGGAATGAACATATACACAAGCTTAGTTTGTCATCAACACATCTTTGAAGTTCCATACATCTCATAACTCAAGCTTTAAAACATCAATTTATCAATTCTCCATAGTTGGACATTTTGTCAAACACCTTGAAGGCATGTAATGAAATCAAAGAGCATGGAAATTAGGGTAGTAATTATGCAACCAAAACAGTGAACAACCTACAACAACACTTTTACATTCATAACATGATCACATTATCTTCATTGGATTCTCATTCATATAATGTCATGATAACACTCCAATTTCTCATACTATGCCTTTAAGGCCATAAGCCTCACATACCAATACACCAACAATACACCATAAAATAAGCATGGGTAATGACATACTTCAACAATCTAAAGACCTTTAAACAAGTTTGATTCATATACATTCATTATCTAGCAACCACTTCATAAAGGCATAAACTAGGAATAGAGAGAAATCATGGGTTCATGGAGTATTTTCATCTTAAATCGTCAATACAACAACAATATAACCATAAAGTGCCATTAGAAACCTTTTAAAACCATTTGATGGAAGAACCCATGAGATTGAGTAAAAACCTAGATTTTTCATATTTTGAAGTAACTTTGGATTTGGCTCCTTGTATGGAAAATTAGACAAGGATCAAGACCCCCATACCTTTGCTATGATCTCCCACGAAAATTGATGAAGAAAGCCTTGAATCCAAAGCCCTAGCTCCCACTTCTTCTTCTTCTTAAATGGAGGATTGTAGAGAGGGAAATGTTTTTTTTTGGGATGGGAATTGGATTATGGTATCTAGGAATTAATATAAGTCCTTTGAAAAAAAGGGTCCAACACTTAGAAAAAAAAAAGGCGGGTGAACAGTAGATGAACAGTAAAATCAGCTACTGGAATTTGGATTTTCTGCCGGACAGACTTTACGAAAATGGGCATAACTTCTTCGTCCGAACTCCGAATAAGGTGAAACGAAGTGCGTTAGATAGCTAACTCAAAGGGCTTTCCATGGATATATTATTGGCCACCAAATAATTTGTGTGCTAGGAGATATGACCCTCCAAAGTAGACCCTCGAAAAAGGCTTCACTTGGAAATTTTGGATTTTGATACGGTTGCTCTAAAATTTGGGTTAGACCCATTTCCCACTCAATTTGACCCCCTAAACAAGAATATGAAGTCGGATTTTCGAAAAACGAAACGGATTTTGAGATATATGGAAATTACAATTATAGGTGTTTCCGTAGCACATTTTCGAGCATTTTTTGGGGTCGTTTCAATACTAGTTTCAATTCCCTCATCATCTTGTAACACTTCAACCACTTTTTTTTGCTTTTCTAGATTCAAACAAACGTGTAAATCTAACTATAAGTCAAAATGCCCAAGAAATCAATTCATCTTACTAAAAAAAGTTACACAAATAAAATAAAATAGTAGTATCACTTCTTTGATCTTGTCGAGACACTTCAATTACTTTTTTAGCCTTGTCAAATTCAAACAGACCTGTAAATTTTGATGCAAGTCAATTGAAATAAGAAGTTCATTCCCATTACTAACAAGAAGGACAAAGGAAATTAAATAAAGCAAATGAAAGCAGTGGTGTAGGTGAAATAGCCCATGACAATAGTGACACAATCTCAAAGGAAAAAAGGCACAACACAGAATCACAAGGAAGTAGTAGTCAATGAAAAGAAGAATAAATTGAATAACACTCAGGATAATAATGCTGAAAATAGTCGCAACAAAAAACTGGTATAATTCAAATGAGCTTCTAACTTAGCAGAGATGTTCCTACTACAGAGAGAAGTCAGGCAAACTAGATCAGGCTTGGAGATGCAAACACAAGGTATATTTACCCAGCTACTAAATAGAGACAATTGAAGCAAGCTATTGAACAACAACTGGAAATATTGAAACTTCTTAATGCAAAGGATCTTAGGAAAGTTGTGTAGTATTGATATGAAAAGCAATCCTAGTCTTGATGGCTATGGTAGTGATTTCTATTGAGAAGCTTGGGATATCATGGGAAAGATGTTGCGAAAGAACTGTTGGATTTCTTCCGGAATGGTCAGTTACTAAGACGGATAAATGCTATTAATATTGCCCTTATCTCGAATGTCCTTGTTCCTGAAAATTCTACTCAGTGCAGACCTATATCGTGTTGTATTATGAACTATAAAGTCATCTCGAAACTGATTTATCAGAAACTAAAATATGTTGTAAGTTACTTGGTAGCAGAGAATCAATCAACTTTTGTTCAAGGGAGATCTATGGTCCACAATGTCTTAATATATCATGACTTATGCATGCATTACAATAGGAAAACCAGTCTCAGATGTTTGATGAAGATTGATCTCCGAAAAGCATATGACATGTTGAGTTGGAAATTTTCTAGGAAGCTTTACTTGGTTATGGGTTTCCATATGGCTTTGTGAAGTTTATTATGATATGTAACACCTACCATGTATTCTGTTATGGTGAATGGGGTAGAAAATGGTTATTCAAGGAAAAGCGAGGAATACGATAAGGGGACCCCATGTCTCCCCTGCTATTTATATTGGTTATGGAGTCCTTAACTACGGTCTTAAAGATTATGAGGGGCTTACCAGACTTCAGATTTCATCCAATGTTTAAAAAAGTTAAGCTTACAATATGTTTATTGCAGGAACACTACTTATGGAACTCCTTTTAATTTAAATATTATGAGTTTCACAATGGGTACTTTTCCTGTAAGATATTTGGGCCTACCACTTTCCTCTAAGAAATGACGCAAATTGGAGCCATCAATTAACTCGAAAATTCACTCAAAGGATCAAGAATGACTATGGAAACATGCTATCATATGCTAACATATCTATTGCAGATGAAAGTAAGGCAACATAATTTTTTGACTGCTTTACAAGTAATAACAAGAAAATATTACATAAAAGAAAATACATACTAGTTTCAGTTTCCTTAGCACCTTGAGCCACTTCAAACACTTTTTTTTGCTTTTCTAGATTCAAACGGACCTGCAAATTTAAGTGCAAGTTATAAAAACTAACAATTCAATTCAACTAACAAAAAAAAGTTGCACAAATAAAATAAAATACTAGTATCACTTTTTTGAGTAGATCGAGGCACTCCAATCACTTTTTTTGACTTATCAAATTCAAATGCACCTGCAAATTTTGATGAAAGTCAACCAAAATAAGAAGTTCATGCCCATTTTTAATAACAGAAAGAATACAAAAGAGATTAAGTAGAGAAAGCTAAGTAAAATTTCTTGATCAAATATGTTAACTCGACTAACTCTTTTTCAAATTGTCACTTCTTTGAGCATCTCGAGTAACTTTTGCTTTTTGAAAGAGGGTGTCATCGTCTTCCATTGGATAAAAATTAGGAGGCACAGGGATACTAGTCTTTGCTGGCTTATTTCGACTAGAAGTTGTTGTAGTATTTCTATTTTTGTCAATCAAAGTCGGTTTTTCAACATTAATCCCTAAGCTTTTTCCTCGAGCCCTTGCACCACTGGTCAAAGTGTATTGATTCATTTCAGCTCCTTGACGGAAGGGATCATTGTCTTCCTTTTCATCAAAACAAGGATGCACATGGAAACTATTGTCTGCTAGCTTATTCAACTTAGAAGTTGTGGCATTGTAAATTCTATTTTTGGAAATCGAAGTCCTTTGTTCAGCATTAACTCTTGTAGTGCTCATAACTTTCAAACTTTGACCTAGTCTCTTTGCTAAGGCACCAGGTTGAATGAGTCCATGCTTGGGAATTTTCGAAGCTTGTCCCATTTCATACTTCAGAGTTTTTGAGGGATTCATGTCAACCTAATACAAAATAATATTATTATTATTAATAATAATAATAATAATAATAACAATAACAATAATAATAATAATACTAATAATAATAATAATAATAATAATAATACTAATAATAATAATAATAATAATAATAATAATAATAATAATAATAATAATAATAATAATCAAAAGATCAAATAGATAAGGAAGTTTTTCATAAGATGAAATATGAACTGAAAACGCATTCAGAAAAAGACACATGTACATGTAACACAGGTGCCTCACATGAACCATTACTACTTTAGTAAAATCAAGGTAACATTAAAGATCAAGATCATTAAACAAATTTTCACAGAAAATACTACAAAGAATCATTACCATAAGAAATTAATAAAGTAAAAGCAAGCGTGATAAAGCTGCAAACCTTAATGAGTTCTTTTTCTTTTCATTTGTGTAGAGCTATCTAACTCTTCTAAGTCATCATCCTTTTTTTCCAATATATCAAAAGAATCACGAGGTTGAACATTTTGCACTATATGCCAACCTTTATTCGAATGATCGATAACATAAAATACTTGAGATGCTTGGCTGGCTAATACAAATGGCTCATTTATTTTCAAACATCGCCGATGATTAACACTTACAAATCCATATTCATCCATTTTAACTCCCCTCTTCTGATCATACACATCGAGCCATGTACATCAGAATAAAATCACTCTTCTCTCCCCAACAAATTGTAATTCAAGAACCTCGGTTAACTCACCATAGTATGTTTTTGCTTTTCACCGGTCTCACCTACTACAACAACCCCACAATTCTAAGTTTTCAAATATTTATCATACTCTTGCACATGAAACCTATATCCATTAACAATATGTCCTTTGAATCTTGTCACATATGGCAGAGGACCACGTGATAACGATAGAAAATCTGCCATTCTCTTACTATCATCATGTTTGTACAACTCTGCAACCTAACAACATCAAATACCCTTTTAGAAAACAATATTTACATACTTGATTTAAGAAAATTGATTAATTTCTACTCACCTTCTTTTGTAACCAACTAATGAATTGTCTATTCCACTCCACATCTGAACTTTGTTGAGAGGCCTCACTATGAATTTGTGAAAATTCTCTACAATGAATTGAAGTTCTACATGTTATTTTATGTTGAAATATGGACAAGATAAAAGTAAATTATTAGATTTAATCAATACTTACTCGAGAAATGGTTGAATTTCATCACAGTTCTTCAAAATATAAAAATGTGCCTCCTCCAAATTATGTGAATCAAGTTTGTCTGGCGAACTACCCTTTAAACTTTTTCCAGGCTCACAAAATATGGTTAAACCACCATCAGATTCAATTACCCCACCATCTTAATTTCTCTCCGGACAATTAAACTTTGTCTTTATTATATTCAAATACCTTGAACATACTGTCATACATTCAACTGCTAAATATCCCTCTACAAACCTTCAGGGTGAGCCATATTACCAATAAAACACTTCAAAAAGTTTAGGTATCTCTCTATTGGATACATCCATCGATATTGAACTAGTCCAGTAATCCTAGCTTCATTAGGTAAATGAATAGACAATTGCACCATGACATCAAAAAGAGTAGGAGGGAACACCTTTTCTAACTTGCATAGTGTTTTTGGTAGTTGGGCTTCTATTTGTTCCAACTACTCTATGCTCAAACATTTTGCTCCAAGAACTTTGAAAAAAATAGACAACTTAATAAGTGGTTCAGACACAGATTTGCAAAGCATACCACACATGGCAAGTGGGAGTAAATGTTGTAGAAACAAAGAGCCTACAAAAAAATCAACCAGCTACATGAAATCAGAGAAACACAATTTCAGTATAGTCTTTCCAATGCTATGTGTATTGCCTGATTTAAAAGAGTTTATCCAATTTCTAAGAAAGAAAAAATATAGGAAGAAAAGAAGGATGTATTAACCGACATGTTAATTCTCAACTCCTATTCAATTTGAAAGTATCTGCACAAGGAAAAGATCAAACAGAAGAACAAGATTAGACAAAAAAAAATAGATTGTGTAGTAACTGACTGCAACCTTAACAAATGTGAAGGCATTCGCAAAACAGCATGAAGAATCAGGGGAAATAGTACTACTTTTTGATGTATAACGTGATGCGAATGAGATCATGGAGATGTGAAAATTTAATGCCCATTTGTTACCCATAGGAGAAGGTTTATTGGTGACTACTCACTAGAATAACACAAGGAGGCAGTGACTTTGAAGTTTCAGGGGAAAACGAATCGTTGAATTGTCAATTAAAGGTGACGTATACACATGAAAAGAACATGTATTCACAGTCAGATCTTCACATGAAAAACTTCTTTTAACATAGGTATTGATTTAGTACTATTTGATAGATTGTAGAATATACAATACTTTTCCCACATCTAAAATGGTATTAAACAGAGACATGTATTTTTTTAAATCCTAAACAGGCTATGCATTGTGAACTGTAAATATATAGAAGAGTTTAATCATGCTAATAGTAGCACATAATGTTAAATTTTTGAAAGTCGATCTAGCCTAAGACATGGAACCACATGAAGTTGTCTTAAGCAGACCCAGAATTAAAGAAGTAGAATACAGGTGAGTGAAGTCAATCCAAGACGGGCTGAACCATGCATTATAAAAATGTCATCAACTTAACGATAATGCAAGGAAATGTTACAATGTAAGCATTTAATGTAACTTAACAATATTATAAGGGTCTGAACTAAAGTAATTTGTCTTTTATTTGAATGACTGGACAATGCCTAATTTAAAAAAGTTTATCCAGTTTCTAAGAAAGAAAAAATATAGAGAGAAAAGAAGGATGTATGAACCCTGAATGCGACATATTAATTCACAATAGTAATTAATGTTAATTCTTAACTCCTATTCAATTTGAAAGTATCTACACAAGGAAAAGATCAGACAGAAAAAATAGATTGTGTAGTAATTGACTGCAACCTTAACAAATGTGAAGGCATTCGCAAAATAACATGAAGAATCAGGGGAAATAATGCCACTTTTTGGTGTATAAAGTGTTGCGAATAAGATCATGGAGATGAGTAAATGCCCATTTGTTACCCATAGGAGAAGGTTTATTGATGACTACTCACTAGAATAACGCAGAGAGGCAGTGACTTTGGAGTTGCAGGGGAAAAGGAATCGTTGATATACTCTGAAAAAGAACATATATTCACAGTCAGATCTTCATATGAAAAACCTATTTTAACATAGGTATTGATTTAGTACTATTTGATAGATTGTAGAATATACAATACTTTTCCCACATCTAAGATGATATTAAACAGAGACAGGGATTTTTTTAAATCCTAAACAGGCTATGCATTTTGAACTGTAAATATATAGAAGAGTTTAATCATGCTAATAGTAGCACATACTGTTAAATATTTGAAAGTCGACCTAGCCTAAGCCATAGAACCACATGAAGCTATCTTAAGCTGACCAAAAATTAAAGAAGTAGAATACAGGGGAGTGAAGTCAATCCAAGAAGGATTAAACCATCCATTATAAAAATGTCATCAACTTAACGATAATGCAAGGAAATGTTACACTGTAAGCATTTAATGTAACTTAACAATAATGTAAGGGCCTGAACTAAAGTAATGTCTTTTCTTTGAATGACTGGACAATACTCAAGGAGCTACTTCTAGTTCAAGAAAAAGGAAAAAGAAAGACAATATTACAACCTCAACTCCATGTGTACATCAAAATGTTGTTGTGACTCATTATCAAATCATGAGTTATTTATTGCTTAACCAAGAAATGGCTTTGAGAACGAATCTTATTCCCACGGTGGAAAAATTCAAGATGTATACTTGTACTTGTAGATACAGATCATAATCATAAAGTAATAAAGCAATACAGATAGAACAAAACCAATAAGACTAGGGCCAAATTTTCAGCAGACTTCTATGTGACAAAGCTAATATTTTGTAAGTTATTGTATTAAAGTTACAATAGATTATCAAAAAGATGATATATAGAATTCCTCCTTGCTACATATTTTGCAAAGATTGCAGTGTCCTATGTACATAAAAGGTCAGGTCCTCGGCCACTCTCGTTGTTATAAAAAAGTTAGTATTTTGAACTCATATTAGTGCTACAACTACTGTGTTTTGACCAGAACAACAAAAAAAATAAAGAAAATGGGATTAAGAAAACCTAATCTCCACAGTTTACACAAAAAATTGTATCATATTATAAGGTAGAATTACACTTGTGAAGGATAATGAAAATTTTGTCCTAGAAATTATCAGATTTCAGATTGACAAATTTATTCAATAATTATCACTATTGCGACTTCTTTTATTGTCAATCGAGGCTACTGCAGAAAGTACACACAAACATATGCTGGAAATGACTAGTATACATAATTTAAGATCAGGTACACCAAAAACCCACTGAAAACAACTAGATTATTCATAAAGAATAAACATATAATTGGGTAAAATCATAATTTTCACCTAACAATTCATAGTCAAAACAAAAGAACATACTTTAAAAAGAAGGGAACTCCAAGAAGATGCGAAATTATTGTCACCCATAGTAAAGAACAACAACAATCAAGTGAAATTTAGAGTAAAAAACGAAAGCTGACTTCTGCAATTAGAAAAAAAATGGCGTTGATTTCCTTTATAAGAGTTTGAACAGATACCAGGAATTAAAGGTACCAGAATTTTCGTGGTCTGTTTTGCTGATTTTTCTCCAACAAATCAATTCTCTGAGTTATCTCCCTTAGGTATCTCACTTTCTAGCGTAAGATAAGGACAATGTGTTGAGAAACTGCCGCATCTCTTCGAAGTGGTGGAGAAGGTGGCGTGCGTGGTGCAAGTTTTTGAGCAGAAAAATTGAGAAGATTGTTCATCTCTCTGAAGCTCGATGTTTTCTCATGGAAGGGTGGGGGTAATGTGAGACCTAGTTCTGATGGGGGTGGGTAGGGTAATAGAGGATAAGTTATTTGTTAAAAATAAATAAATTGTTAAAAATAAAAGGGTTAAAATAAAATGGGTTGTTAATTAAAATAAAAGTATGTATTATTTTATTATTAACGTCTGGGTATTAATTTTCTTGAGTTCCGGATATTGTCCTTTCGTTAATATTATATTAAAATTGCCTTTTAACGACGGGAGAAAAATTGTGACGTAATATATATACCTATAAGGACTGGATTTATATTCTTTCGTTAAAAATCAATTTTCTTGTAGTGGGAGCTGCTAGAGTTGGGAGGTTTGTTACCATTCATTGTATATATCTTTATGGGTAGGCTGTGGCCCAGTCCCACTAATATTTACTACTCTTAAAGGCTTGCAGAGTAGTGTGATGGGTGTATAGCTACATTATGGCCATACTGGCCTATGTTGTTGGTTTGCTGAAGCTTGTGAGCTGTT